TTTGATGGTACTCTTGATGGTACTTTGATAATTATAAGGGACTTGTTTACAAGTTGGTGATAACATAAGGATTAGCATTAGGATAAGGTTTTGTCCCAGCTTCTCTACATTTTCCCATAATTGCTTGCCTCAAGTTCCAAGTGGAAAATGTATGACTTAATGTCATATTCTGTTTCAATTGTCGAACTTGAAGGCACCGTTGGCCCCCGGCTAGGGGTCAGAGCGTGGAACCTATGCCCAATTTTTTCCTGTATGTTAACATTTTTTTCTGGCAGTTCAAAACCTGAAGTTGCAGGAAATGGCTTCCATTTGTATTTGTTGGAGTCTCTTAAGCTATTATGTGTAAGTTGTATATTTAGGAAAGACAGAAGGCTGAAATTGCAGGAAATGGCCTCCATTTCTATTTATAACAGTCAAAATGCTATAGCTTCCTCCTCCGGAGGGGGGGTGCCCCCCCGGCGATGCGCGTTGCGCGCCGCTTAGTGTGTGCTCGGTAAGTTTCCTCCCTCATACTAAAATTTTCTGGGGAGAACCCTGATACTGCAGGATATAGCAGCATAATTTGCATTTCCACTGTTGAAAATGTAGTATGTCCCTAACTGCAATGCCACCTAGAGGTGAACGTGTGTACTGCAGGTTCTTACTGCAGAGTTTCCTCAATTGTCAATATGCTTTTTAGTATATGCAGAGGTTGAATTACAAAGTACAGTAAAACTAATTTGGCTTCTTGTCACAAGTTAGAATATACTATGATAGATCTCCAGTGTCAAATATGTGTAAACAGTGTCCATAAAATTTGGAAAATCATCCTCCAAGTTAAAAGTTAAATTTTCTGGTCATGTTTCTTGCAGAGGAATCAGCAGCAAGAGAAGCAGTGCAGCAGTCTGATGTGTCATCAAGTGGCCAGTCTCTTCTGCCCAGTAATGTGCTGGGCAATCTACTCTTAGAGGTAAGGGTTACTTTAACTGCAAATTGGATGCTACCTTACAGCCCACAAATGTATTGCTTTCAGACATTTAGATAAGGGGAAAACAGATAGCACAGTGGAAAACCAAGGCTCAGTTTTTTGGCATTGTTATTTTTATCAATCTCCGCAATCCGTAATTCATAAATGTTTTAAAGCTGCAATGTATAACATTATGATGATGCAAGAAGTCAATTTTCTGTACATTTCTTTACAAAGTACAAAGTACATTGAATCAATCCTCTATTGCAAATAAGTATCAGTCAGGCATGGGAGGTGCCCAAATATTTTCACCATACAAGTGTGTTTAAAGGTTAAAAACACAGCTTTTAGTCATGTTTGTTTACGTTCTTGGTATTTTGTGGTGGTACCACAAAATAAACTGGGCAATTTCATTGCCAACAACTAGAGTTCCCCGATCTCATACCTTCGCCAAATGATGTTAATCTTTATGACTGACAACTTATAGATTAGATTATTCCCCCCCTAATCTAAGAAATAGGAACCTAATTTTCATGAATTATATCATTTTATCATAATCTCAACCAAAAAAACAGTCTTATAGTAACAAACAATGCATTCTAGCATTTCCTGATAGATTATGCAAATGAGGTCCTGATTTGAATAAATTATGTTTAATGATGTTCACCTCAATTTAACTTTCAAATACCACAAGTATGAAATTCCAGGCAGTTATCATTACATAATTATAAAATTTTTCTCATTAATTATGCAAATTAGGTCATTATTAACATAATCAATATCTTCCTGTGTTTCTCTCGTTGTCAATTACCAATGTCACAAGCTTTAATTGTCCTATCATGGAATGCAGCTGATTTATAGAATT